ACGCAACTTTCCGATTAGGTGCGAAGGTGAAAGCGTGCTAAGACTGCAGCAAGCGACGCGCCGTCGTCGCAAATACCGGTAAACAATGCTTCGCATTCAAAAGTTCCTACCAGCTCACCCCGCACGGGACCTGTTTGCAGAAAAGCGGTAAAGCTGATCCACATCGATGATTGGAGGGTTTCAACCAATTAGCGTCGCGGGAGACGCCAAAAGATACCAATGTGCCCATGGCGATCGTGGCGATCGATGCCTTGCTTCACAACCCAGCTGCCTGTGTCCTCCATCTCATTAAATTATTCCATACAAAATTCAACACATTTCTGTCGCCGACCGGAATTTCGCAAAACAAACGCATAGAAATGTCAAGTGGTCGTATTAATCTCTTTTTTTGACCCCCCTCTCCAGTTGTCGACACAAACAGAAAAGCGTTCGAGAATGAACAACTCCGCGATCTGGCGTCGGTACCCGAAGGACTCTTTGGCCAAGAGCACCATCGTCCTGTACGAATCGGACCACGACGTTCTCGGTGATGCAGACCGAGACCTCAGCCCGGAGCTCGTCGACTTCGCAACCGTGTAACGTGGCGTCCGGGGTGCAATGCGCGACTCATGTCTACTACAGGGTGCTTCAGGACGACGAACTCATCGCGCTCATCCCGTTCATCCCCATCAACGAGGCGGGGGCCATGCGCAGGTATACGCGCCGTGAGCTCTTTGGCAACCGCATTTGGATCGTCAACTCCAACACGCGTACGTTTGGATCGTCATGATGCTTGTTCTCACTGTCTTGCAGCTATTGGTGGGCCCTTTTCCTGTTCACGGGCCTTGACGTTTGCCGCGAAACGAGACGCATCAACATCTACGTCCTTGGCGCTGTCAAAGGCGACAAGATCGAAGTGCAAGGTGGTCCACGCGCAGGAACCGAACCAGGTAGCCTGGTCGGACATCGAGTTCGTACTGATTACCTGGTTCGTTTCCTGCGCGTGGAACATGCCGAGAAACCTCTTGAGCTTGCGGTAGACGCCTTGCACTTCGACCTTGTCGCCTTTGATACCAGTAGCCGCAGACTGCAGCTACCGGTATGCAAACTCCACGACCGCCCGTTTCCATCGCGGCTCCAATTGTCTTGAAGACGTTTTACTGGCTACGCGCCCTGAAGTCACACACGAGATGGCGAATCGTATGCGGACGGTGGTGCGCGAGCGCGCGACTGGAAATTAGAGTCCCATCCACTACAGACAGAACTTTGGCTCTCTCAAAAACAACGTAACGTTAATCGATTTTCGTGAAATTTGGCTCCAATCGCTTACTTTTTACGCTGACATGAAGCGCATGCACTGACGAAGTGTGAATCGTACCGCGACGTCAGGTCACGAGGTCGTACAATACAGTATTGTAGTGCTTTCGTCCCCTCGGCTATAGACGCAAGTGCATGGGGGAGACGAACGGGGTTCGTGTTGGGAGGCCGCCGCCGCCCAAGAAGGGACTGGTGGGTGGGTTAAAAGAGCGTTGAGTAGCTAAGAGTGTTGGAGCTGGACGAGCAAATCGCTAATGAGCTTGGATGCTTGATCTTCGATCTCGGCGGTTGCGCCTTGCTATATTAAGAGAGCTGGTAGAGCTGCCGCCATCTTGGCGGCTCGGCCTTGCGGTACAAGATGGCGCCCTTGCTTGGCCTCGGTACAAAAACCCAGCTTCACGCGTGCCGCGAAAAACTATCCCCACTCAGCACAGCCGGATCCGCCAGTACGAGGAGCTGTTTTTTCATCGACCTTTCGCGCGCGCTCGACACGATTGACTGCGCAAAGCTGCTCCTGGTGCGTCGAGGCTCTCTCAAGCTCAACACAGTGCCATCGCAGTTATCTAAATAATACGACATCTAAACGAGCACGGCACTGTAGCAAAACACAAGGAGGAGATATATTGACCGTCGCCGTTGTTACTCGTCGATCGCCTAGTCCGAGAGCGACTGGAAAGCCGCCTCGATTTCGTCGTCGAGGTTCTTGAAGAAGCCGCGCATCTGGTCCTCGGGCTGCTTGGGCAGCTGGAACTTGGTCTGGATGATCTTCTGGATGACAGGATTGAGCGAGACCTTGATCTGCGCCCACGTCACGCGCGCGTCCGGCGGCGAGTCCGCAATCACCTTCTGCGACAGGTTGTGCAAGAGGATGATCGACCGGAGCATGCCGACCGACTTGACGAGCGGGCACGTAAAGTCATAGTCCGAGAACGCGTTCTGCTGCAAGAAATCTTCGCGAATGATCTTGGCAACCTCCATGACGACCTTCTGGTCCTCCGAGAGCGACTCCTTCCCGACGAGCTGCACGATTTCTTGCAAGTTGTCTTCCTTCTGGAGAATCTCCTGGCACTTGGTGCGCAAGTTGGAGTAGTCGGGGTCGAGCTTGTTGAAGAAGGGCTCGAGCACGCGCATG